GACATATCGCAAACGAACACTCTCCTCCCGTAAACCTGAGCATCCAGACCTCGACCACGTATACGAACGCTCACAAACACGTTCCTTACCTGTCGCCCAGATCATGCCTCTGTTTACCTCGCGAGTCAAGCTAATTTGTTGCTTCCCGGCCGTCTCTTGTCTCGGCTTTTCGCTTCCCACCCGAGAAATTGTTCAAGGAAGTCCAGCCGCCTTGCAAACGAGCGAAAGGAAGGGAGTGCGAGCGGAATCGCAATTTAAACATTGAACCGGAATTGGTCACGGATGCAGTTCAGCGCCTGATAAAAATGTAAACAACTTCAGTTGTTTACACGCTTTGCAGAAGGAGATGGAAGTGAGGGTTAAAGTGAACGAAAAAAGAGTTGAATGAGAAATCGTGCTCCGCGAAATCCTGAACAAAGGAAACGTGCCGACTAAAGATATTATTCTTAAGATTCATGGCTACGGTAGATTTGTTTTGAAACTCTTGATAAATGTTATTACAAGTTACCTTTGTTTACAGTGACTACAACACTACACAGCACTTCCTCGGCGTGTAAAGCGAGACAGACAGAACAAAAATAGGATCTCTTAAGTGTTACAGCAGGTAAAACACGCACAAAGACACCTCGAGCCTAATTTTACTCAGTGGACACTCGAGTCATACGAGTGTTGTGCCAGCGAGAAGGGGGGGGGGCAGAGGTGTGTTTAGATGGGGAGGAGGGAGGGTCAGGGGAGGACGGTAAGAGGGGAGACAGAAACACGGCCACTTGTTGCTTTTAATGTAATCTCCAACCTCCTGCCTCCTCCCTCCCGCCCGCTCCCTCCGACTCCCTCTCCCCTTCCGCTCTGGTCCCCGTCCGTTCGAGCCCTCTCAGAGCCCGATTGCTCGCACTCGCACTCAGGACTTCAAATCGATTCTCCCCCCCTTCCCCTATATCCCCCTCCTCCCCCTTAACCCCCCTCAACCCCACCCCGGACGCCTACACAGCTCCTCAAGTAGCACCTTTCCCCGCCCGCGCTGTTATCAGGGCAACGTAAACAAATACACGCGTTATGTGTTGTGGCCGGAGATTGCTGGGCCCGACGCGGGACCTCGCTGACGCTGGGAAATCGTTCCTCTTTTTTGTTCTTTAGTGAAATGATAGTGATGATGGATAGTATTAATAGTTATTTGAATTATTTGTTATTGCATTATTGCTCTGATTGATTATATTTTCTAAATAAAAATCTTTAAATTCCTTTCCTCTTTTTTCAATGTATGGCATCAGTTCTGTTTTTTTTCTTTTGCTTTTGTTTTCTTCTTCCCTTTCATCATCATTTATCATAGTTTATTTGCATATGTTCACCTGAACACATGCAAATAAACAATAAAATACCATTTGAATTTGAAGACGAATTCTGAGCGAGATTCTATCATTTCTTTCGCAGGTAAGGATGCCAGGCGGCCCTGCAGTTTCCTGTTGTTTTCGCTTCGTAAGTACATGCTGCATCTTATCGGTCTTTACACACACACATACACACACGTGTATATATATATATATATAATATATATTATATATATATATTATATATATATACTATATATATATATTATTACACACACACACACACACACACACACACACACACACACACACACACACACACACACACATATATATATAATATATATATATATATATATATATATATATATATAATATATATATATAATATACATATGTATATGTATATATATTATATATATATATATCACTCTCTCTCTCTCTCTCTCTCTCTCTCTTCTCTCTCTCTCTCTCTCTCTCTCTCTCTCTCTCTCTCCTCTCCTCCCTCCCTCCCTCTCGCTCTCTCTCTCTCCTCTCTCCTCTCTCTTCCTCTCTCTCTCTCTCTCTCTCTCCTCTCTCTCTCTCTTCTCCCTCCTTCCCTCCTTCCCTCCTTCCCGCTCCCTCCCTCCTCTCCCTCCCTCTCTCTCTTCTCTCTCTCTCTCCTTCTCTCTCTCTCTCTCTCTCTCTCTCCTTCTCCTCTCTCTCCTCTCTCTCTCTCCCTCTCCCCCTCCCTCCCTCCTCTCTCCTCTCTCTCTCTCTCTCTCCCTCCTCTCTCCTCTCCCTCCCTCCCTCCCTCTTCTCTTCTCTCTCTCTCTCTCTCTCTCTCTCTCTCTCTCTCTCTCTCTCACTCTCTCTCTCCTCTCTCCTCCTCTTCACATCCCAAAGCACCAGGCGTCAGCTAAGCTCGCCATGTAGACTCAAGTGTTAGCAAATCGCGCTGAATTAGCGACCTTTGCCGAGCATAACGCTACTCCGCTAGACCGAACAGTAACCTTATCATTTATATCGGAGAATATCCCTTACATCCGCGCTCAATCGGTAATTTTAAGTGATAGGGAAGCTTCCGCTGAAGTTCCAACGAAGAATTAAGAGCACAGAAGAGTGAAGAGTGCGGAGAAAGGAAAAGGGAGAGAAGGAGAGGCGGAGACCATGTGCCTCGCTTGTATGCACGAAGG